TATATTTCACTTTAGACACAATGCTCGCTGTCAACTGTAGAGTTCGATATCTGAAATTGGTTTAGCAAGGAAAGTGTTTGCCATTCTTGGTTCTTGCAAATTACTTTACAATCACGTTGGATAGAGTTCACTTTAAAGCCTAGGTAGAACTTACTTATAAAATTTACTTGTAATAAGAGGGTTTCCAAGTGGTTATATTGCCCACAAACCGAGTATTAACATAGCAATTATGGACATAATTAGGTTGTTGTAATCCACTCCTATCAGAACTGCTGTCCATGGTGCCTGATATTCCTATCTAGGTGACTACATGAACCGGTCTTCTGCTGGAACTAGCATTACCCAAGTTGGTCAGTTCACAATAAGGGTGCCTGCACTAATACTATGTGTACAACCACATGAGGAGCTCTGATCTTAAAATCGACTTTTAAGGATAGGATGCCCAAGTCGTTATAATTGTTCAGAATATCATCGTGTAAGCTCGACAAGGAACATCTTTCAATCCTATAATAGTGACTTTAGTGACTTCAAAGATTTGCCCTAAGCACTTGGCAAAATTTCTGGGTATGAAAATAATTTATTAGAAATCTTACATTGTGCTATTCATATATGGTCAATCTCTAGTATCAAAGCACAGAGCATCCCTTTGTGAACTGATAACAAAAACATCAGAAGATGTCATTGTCGTGCAGGCTGAAGTGTTTCCACTACTCAAGCTTATCTTTGCTGAACATGGGTCATATTCCAAATTTTTCTTGGCTTCAGTTGGTGTTGGTTTTCTTATGGTTTTGGGTCTTTTTGTTACAGATAAACGATTGTTTTATTATACATGTATTTTTTTTGTATAAAGTGTGTTTCTTACAAGAACCTCATTTGTTGAAAACTGCTGAAAGGCCCAAAATAAATGATCTAACTTTTAAAGTTTCATTTCACATCCTACTATAGTGCTGTAAAGCTAGTTGTAAATGTTTAGACCATAGGTTTTCTCGTCAAGCTCTTTGATGCTCATTCATTGAAGGTTTAATCCCAAGATCCTATCATATTTTTCCTTCTCTATGCAGTTTAAAATTGAGGGGAAACTATCACGTTTCTTTAATTTTTATGGTTGGAAAATCCATTTATTTAAATTTTTTTTCAACATTAAATGTCTGGGAATCACTTGGTTGAAGGCAAGGACTTCCTGAGGACTAAACTATTTTTGTTTAAGAGATTTAACCTATATTTGGCCTCCATCTCAGTAATACAAACACTTCAATTAGGGTAGCGTTTCCGTGTCCGATATGAGTTGATACGACACTTCTTAGATACTCTATCGTAATATTTTTCTTTTTATATTAGAAATATTATAAATTGTTAATTCATACTATATAAATGAAGAATTTTATAAATTGTTAATAACAAATATAAAACTAAATTTATAAATAAAAGCATATGCATGTGCATACTATATAAATATTATATTAGAAATATTATATATTGTTACTAATAAGTATAAAACTAAATTTATACTATATAAGTGAAGAATTTTTAAGAATTTAATCAATGCTCGATGACGTGTCGTGTCTGTATTATTTTTAAAAATCATATGTCGGATACTTTTTTTTTTAAAAATCACGTGTCGGACACACGCGTCCGTGTGGTTCATCACCTCCAATTTTTCCAAAAACTTATTTTTTCAAAACTCATTTTCAACTGCACATTCTCTCGTAAAATAATTTTACACGTAAATCGAAAACTTTTTCTTATTTTTTAACCATACATTCTAAAAAAAAAAATCACTATTGCAAAATATTTTTTCTTACAAAATTGGGGCTCAAACATAGGCTTGAAGTCCATGAAGGAAAGATTCAACCTTACTCTTCCTTTTTGTACCTTTATCACCTTAAGTAGATTGATTATAAGAGCTTGTACCATAATATTCTGTAAATTTAGACTGTAGAGGCTTTTCTAGTCATTTGGGAAGATATTCATATACCTACTGATAATAGCGTAAGTTGCTCTTGCAGTCTTAATGTGCATGCACTATATTAGTCTAGTTCAAATTTAGCTATGCATAACAAATTCATAAAATTATACATGGAGTACATGTGCATGCATATGCTTTTGTTTTCAATTGGGTTGCGGGTGCTTTTACATAGGATAATCGAATTAATGCCACGAGAAAATCATAATTGTAGATATCTTTAGTTGACACTGATGAATTCCATCTATGTATATAGAAAAAGGCAAGAAGGAAAAAGCCATCTTTATTTTGGAGGTGTTGCAATCCTAGAAATAACAAGACCTTTGTAATCAACCGTGTTAGGTGAAAGCCATGCAAGAGGAATTTCAAGCTCTTTAGGAGAATCACACGAGATATTGTTTCTTACCCTCCGATTTCCGACCTATTAGATGCAAATGGGTATATTCTGTCAAGCTTCGATCTGATGGATCACTAGAACGATATAAAGTTTGGTTGGTGGCTCTTGGGAATCGTCAAGAATATGGGGTGATTATGAGGAGACCTTTTCCTCGGTTGCCAAAATGACGACGGTGTGTACTATTCCGGCTATAGTTGCCTCTAGGGGTTGGTCTTTGCGTCAGATGGACGTCAAGAATGCTTTCTTACATGGTGACCTTAAAAAAGATATTTATATGACACCTCCTGCGGGTCTCTTTTCGTTGCAATCTTCCGATGTGTGTAAACTAAAGCGTTCGCTTTATTGGTTGAAGCAAGCTCCTCGTGCTTGGTTTGATAAAATGAGAATTGATTTACTGTAGAATTTGAGAATCCCAAACAAACAAGCTCTATATCGTCAATTAGTGGGCAGTTTGAATTATCTCACTATTACTGGATCAGATATCTCTTTTGCTGTACAGCAGGCCTGTCAATTTATGCATGCTCCACGACATCTTCATCTGAATGCAGTCCATCATATTATACAATACTTGTTGAGTACACCCAATAAAGATCTTTTCTTTCCTGCACATTCTTCTCTTGAGTTGATAGGATATAGTAATGTGGATTTGGCTGGATGTGCGGATACTCGTCGCTCGATTATTGGTTGGTGCATGTTTCTTGGGAGTGGCCTAATTTCCTTGCGTAGTAAGAAAAAGGATCGTGTTTCTAAATCTTCCATTGAATCTGAGTATCGTGCTATGTCATCTGCTTGTTATGAGATTATTTGGCTACGAGACCTTCTATTGGAGCTTGGTTGTCCTCAACCTATGCCTACTCTACTTTATGCTGATAATACTAGTGCCATTCAAATTGCTGCTAATCCGGTGTTTCATGAACGTACTAAAAACAGTGAAGTAGATTGTCACTCCATCTGTTAGGCTTATGATGGTCACATTATTTCTCTTCCACATATCACTACTGATGTTCAAATCGCTAATGTGTTTACTAAGGCAATGACGCGTCAACGTCATCAGTTTCTTGTCGATAAATTGATGTTTCTTGATCGCCCAACATCAAGTTGAGGGGGGATGTCAATGAGATGGAAATTATAGAAATTACGGAAGATTACGAAGATTGACTATACTATAATTACTTAACTATATATTTTATTGTAATTAATCTTGTTATCATATTTAGGATATATACACTTATTTAATGGAAGAGCCCCAAACGGGGAAGGGCGTTCAGCCATTCAACCAAAATATTTACATAAGTTCCCATGTTTTTTTTACTGAATTACATCAGCTGTGTATGAAGTCAGAATGTTATGCATATATTGTAAGGTACTGTAGTTTCTTTTCTTTCTGCAAATTTGTAGTTACACCAGACAATCACTCTACTCTAGAAGGCACACATTTCTGTAATGCATTCTATGAAACATCTTTTATGCTTGTCCATCAAACTATTATTGTGCTTATCCACCAAATATTTTGTCAATTGCACACATCAAGTTCAAAAATTTCCTTAGAACAAGCTTTATTAAATACAAATTCATATTTGTTGGTTTTCGTTGGAACAAACTCATTGTCTTGCAAGAATATTAGAGTTGCCATTACTTCATAGTAGTCATTTATGACTCTCCTTTTTGAAGCTTTTGCATACTGCAATATGAGATTAATAATTATAATTTCATCACTAAAACGACAAACTCTAAAGAGTTTGAGTAAGCTACTATAGGTACCCAGTACATTAGTAAACACCCAGAAGATGTCGAGGGAGCTGGATTTTTACAGAATATTATCATAAGGCTCGACCATTCTCTTTCTCCTTCCCTTCATAAGCTCAGGGGCACATGCATGTCAAGCAAGATAAAGAGACGAGGGTAAGAGAGGAGAGAGGAGAGGGAAGACTGAAAAAGAAAACCACAATTTTCTCTTTGGAATGTCAATTTAGTTATCATGCCCTGATATGGAATTAATGAATGCTATTTGAGATTGGGTTAAATTCTTCAACTGGTGCTGAGTTTGGGATTCTTTCATCAAATTCCCCATTTTGGTTATTTGGAACTAATGCAGGATATGTTTTATTCATTTAATTTTTATGTCTGAAAATTCTTTACAACCTCACCGAGTTTTCCCATGTTACCCTTACCGAGTAAAAGGACAACATATATGCTAGGCTCATTTTATGTGTATCATGCAGGTGTGGTTGGTTTGACTGTCCTGTAATGGACCGCGTGACATTTCTCATTGTATGTTTCCTCGAGGTATATGGCAACAGTATTTTTCGGTTGTATGATAGAGAACTGCATTCTAATGTATCTATCCAATAAGTTGAGTTTGTATGCACACTCTTGACTGCGGCATACATTTGCTGTTCAATACTTTCTACCTTTCCAATTATGATGTGATGCAATAATTGTGTTGGTAGAAGTTATTTTCGCTTTACTTGCGTGTCAAAGGGAATTACTGAAATTTTACGCATTTCACCTGGAGACCTAGTGCTGTTTTTTTATCGTTGTAGTTTGTGGTGTAAAGCGTGGAAAAGATTGAGTTGAGTTTGAGTACCGATTTTTTATTTACTGATAGTGTTTAATAGGCTTGGTTGTCAAGTGGGTCGGTCCGGGTATTGATACCCAGACCCACCCATTATACTTTGTGGAAATTACACTAAACCAGCTGTTTAGTTTTGACTTTAAAAAATCAGGTTTTTACTTTATTTAATCAAAAATCAGGTTTTAATTTCACAATTAATATTAATAATAATATTTTTAAATTAAATTAAATATATACCCACCCTACTACCTGCCCCACCAACTTTATTTAAATATAAAACCCAATCAAAACCTAATTCATTCCATTTCATCTCTCCCAT